CTCTATAATCAATGCGCACGGTCGATAATCGAGCGTATAACTACTGTTACGCGAACAACGGAACGCGTATGCATACTTTAATCCACTTCGAAACTTGCGGTCATTTTTATTCTGTTTCGTCTACCAATTTAAAAGTAATCGAGAATCTAATTAGATTAATACAATAGAAATTTATGCAAATTTAATTTATTTGAAGTCTAAATTGTTCCGAATAGACAAACTGATAGTTCAAGATGGTCTTCGTTTTGTTGTATGTGTGTACAATCCACCTTAATATCATTATGTGACCTTGCCTGTCGTCGTACTTAAAGAAATGTTAGTACCAATTTAAAACGGCTGAAAATTTTTATCTTTAAATAAAAACGTACGAATTTGCACTCAACTTCGCTAAAACAAATTTGGTGATTTTCTATTCTCGAATTAGCAATAAAAGCAGATTATGTAGATGTCCAACTTCGCTCATGCTTATATAATTCTTGGTAAAGTTCGTCTTTTGTGATTCATTGTGAATTTAAATTTGTTATCAGTAATGTAACATTGTTTACTTATTGAATTTCAACCATAATAAATTTAGTAAAAAATACATCAAGTAGCATAGAACTGACCGCTTACACAACTATTGAAATTTTCTACAGAAATACTGAACTTCAGTTGCGGCATAAGGGTTTGAACATATTACCATCGCGAATAACCCTGTTATTGTTCCTAAATTCAGGGTCTTGCACTATCGGCATGTTCTTAGCTGTATCGATCCTGATCCTATACATAAGACTTGGAGGTGCTCTAAATTCGCCACAATTACTCTCTTATGATCACAGTAATTGGATTTGAACCCAACTGCAGGACCTACCATTGAGCTTATAAGGAGCCTTCGTTCTCTGATTTCAGGCTAACACAAAGGGAATGGTCGGGGAAATGTGTCAAATACTTCTATATTTTCACTGCAATTGCCTCACATAAAGCAAGACTTGAAAAGTTGCCAACATGGCTCGTTTATGGAACGTGTTACGATGGTTTTAACTTGTGTTATAAAATTGAATGCACTGAATTCCTATCATTCCTCATTATTTCCCTAAATCCTCCATTTTCGCATACCTGGTTGAGCGCCCTGAGACAATCTGATAATAACGTGTCAACCTGACTTTCCAATCTACACTGCCAGTTTCTGACGAGGTATACATACAAGGTATGCATACTTTATAACCTACACTGCCAGTTTCTGACAAGGGACCTATACATTCAAACACTGTAAATTAAACTGCTGTCATCAAGCTTGATTCTGCGATGTATTTTCAAATTAATATTTCATTTTAAGAAAATTTCTTTTCTCGTTTGATTGTAAATTTTGAACCCAAATTAATTATTTTGTATTTATAATTCTGTGCATGAATGAATTTTATTTTTTATGCACTCTTCTCGTTCGCTAATTTCCAGTTCACTGCGCCAGCTGATGTTAGACTTAATTATTTTAATGTTCTAAGCCGAGCACCATATTATTGGTTTTGTCCTGAAATCCCTAGCTATTACATTAAATTTAACTAGTTATCTTTATTTATCAAATTAATTCATTAGTTAAATTAGTTAGATAAATTACTTAATTAAATTGGTTAGATAAATTAATTATTTAAATTAATTAAACCAAATAATAATTAAAATTATTTGAGTAAATTAATTATCACAATTAATTTATTTTTTATTTTTGGGGGCAAATGAAAAAAACTTCAGCTGAACCTTCACTAATTTCACTATGATAGCCCCATTTGCTAGCTTCCTTCAATTGAAATGAAGTGGCCCATACATTCAAGTGCTGCACACGCTTATCAAGAATATTTTCATCTTTAATTCGTTAGTCAGTACTCGTTTTTTATGTCCTATTATCTTAGACAAATGAACTATACAAAACTTCTTTCTTCATGATTTAAGATATACATATATGTATGTAGACAAATGTTATCTTAGACAAATGAGTTAACTGTCTATGTTATGTTATCGCAGTTATGTAGGTAAATAAGATAACATGCTATGTTATCATAGACAAATGGACTATATAAAATTTCTTTATTCGTGATATGATATCGCTTCATGCATGTGAAGTTTGAGTTTAGATAGTCACAACATATGCTCATTGAATTACGTAACTTAATAATTTGTTTGCAAGAATATTTAGAGTATCTTTCATGGGAGCGTGACGATGGTAATATTTGGTGCATGATTACGTCATGGAGTCGTCCTAATGACACGTCATTGACCCATGGAGCGCCACGCTCAATGCGCTGCCCAATGAATTACAACGGGACTTTGGAGTCGTGCCATGGAGCCATTATTACGGACGCTGATTTATCTACCTCATTTGTCGTTAAAGTACGCAAGTTTGCATACTTCAGCCTTGCTTATGAATCCTGGAGGTGGCATATGATTATTACCCGTTTCAAAAATTATTCCCGGTTTATCGTTATGCGCGTTCTATAATTAATAGAATGCAGCTTTTTCGACTTTAATTCGGATATTTCTTGGGAACGAGCAACATTATAAAACTATAATCATTTCAAGTACCTAAGTATTTTCCAAAAAGGTCACTAATAAGCTAACCTGTTATCCGAAAATTTTGAACTGACATCTAATTAGATTATTTTTGTCTGAAAATTACTGATTTTATCATCTTCATTTTTAAATAATTTAATTATGATTTATGCTACGTTGATTCAATAATTTGTCATTTTTTATGTTTTCACATGTTCCTTCGGTATGTTATATATGTCATCTCCATTCAATCATTATGATCTGTAAAAATCACAACTTGAAACAATTATTTGCACAGTTAGTCAAATATGGTTATCATATAAGAAAATCAAGTAAGAACTATTTTCAAATGAATTCGTTTAAAGTATAAGATATATTTATTATATGTTCTAATGTTATCCGTATTTATTCATTGCTTGAACAATCGAAGCTACTGCCTCAAGAACCGAGCAAAATTAATATCCCTTTGCACAGATTCATTTCAACTACTTATAAAGTACATGGCTTCACTTATTCGCCTTACTGAGCATCTCTTAGAAATCTTTTTCAATAATTCCATCTGCCGTGTTTCTCATATCCAATATGTCAAGGGATGTTTTATTTTAATTATGCTCCTCCCCCATGCAATATGGATTCTTGTGCCATCTCGAAAAGGTTGTAAAAAGCCGCTATATCTTACGAGGTTCTCTCGATCACGACGTTTTTCTACCTCATGCTTCATGGTCGCTCAAATTATTACTCGCAAGAAGAGGAATTAAGCTTGATAATTAAGAACCCTCTTGAATTAGAGAACGGACGGGGTAATTAGATACTGAATTCTTCATGAGCTCTTCCTCGTGCGTAAGGCTTGCTTGCTGGCGCTCCGTACGAATACTCACGAATGTCCTCTTATTCGTTATTCATTTTTGGATCTCTAGAGTCTAGGCCAATTTTTATTTTAAAAAATAATTCATTGTTGTTGAACGTGTGTTTTTCTCGATTTTTTTTAAGTTATATTGTTTCATTGCATAGATTATAAGACCTGTTTTTGCCCTACAAATTCTAGTAATTTTTCAAGGCTGTGGAATTAATAGACTTGGACATTTATCTTAAAGTTATCTAGTCATAAATTTCACATTTTATATTTATAATGGAATTTAGTATTGCCACTCGAACTTACAGTTCATTTCTAAATCCGATACGTTGGGCTTAGTAACATATAATTTCCACATTTCAAAAGGAATGTGTTTTAGAAATGTCCATTCTTGTAAACAGCTTCACTATTTAATGTATAACGATTTAATTCTTAAATTAGGTTTATTGCATAATTTAAGGATAAAATTTCCTGCTCTGATCGATCCTATGCTCTTGATAATATCACTCCGATTCACTATGAAAACTAGAACTATTTCTTTTATAAAGCAGTACATGCAGTATGTACTTCCCTTAATTTCTTTGCAATAAATCCTTGAAGGACAATTATTATCTATGACAAGCTTGTGAAGAATGGCTCGGCTGATAGCCCTACAAGTTATTGTCTCTGCGTATACCTGAGGTTTGTACGCATTGTCTCGTGTTTCGCACGGTACGGGGCGTCGTGTATAATGCAACGTTGTGTGTGCAAGGAACCTATCATTTATCATTGATTAAGGTAAATGTCAACGCTGCAATCGTTAACATTACGTTCGCAGTGCACGTTTACGAGAGACATGCCTTCTGCGGGCCTCGATTTTGTCTCATGCGACAAATCGATGTCGTTTGGACGTTAATTACTTTCATTCGTTCGTTCTTTACGTTGATGAGTTCGTTCGTTTGCGATTTCGTCCGTTAAATACGAACATTTTTTCTCTGTATTCGAGGTCATATAAAAGCCGACGTTTGGTGAACGTTGCAATGCTTATCATATGCAACTATTACGAGTATTTAAGGAATTGAATTGTGGGAAATGATCTTCAAGAATATTATTGCGATCTAAAATTAGACATGACATGAGTTGATTTTTATTGAGTAATTGATTGATTTACAGTTGTGTAGCCAACGATGTTTCTAGTTCAAATAGTTAAAACTCTCTTCAGAAGTGGATCTATTTTTCAAAAATCATACATCATCTATGGTTGAAACTTGGATGTCAAAATCTGTTTTCTCTCTTGTTCTTGGACTTTTTCAAACGTTTCTTTTTTCCTGAAAGACCTACTCATTTGTCTTGAAATTTAAAGATCTTAATTAGTGCCTTTGGCAGCGGCATATTTTATGATAATTCCTCGTCAGCAATTTTACGAGCATTCCTGCCATATTGTTAGCCATATCAAATTTAGCTTATTAGCTCATTAGCTTATTAATTTTTTACTCTTACTGTACAATTTGACTCTTCATTTCCACCTATACAAATGCAGTTGTCCCCTATAAAAATTGTATCATTTTTCGATGCTCTCTTTTTTAGCGTGTCAATACTTGCATGATAGTTTCTGCCACGCATTCCCTCATTCCTCCTTCTCTTACAGACTCGTACCAAGCGCAAGTGCAGGCAGCGTGGCAGAAATCCTGGAATCAGACGCAGTCTTTACTGCAGAACCTGCGCTTCAGAGAGCGGGGACCCCTCAAGTCCTGGCGCCCCGAAACTATGGCTGATGCCATCCACGCGGTCCTCAAAGAAGGCCTTTCTCTTTCACAGGTGATGCTCTCTTTTGACTAAAAAACATTTACCTGAAATGCGATCCAACCAATTGACAATTTGAGCACTGATGCAAATTTTGGTAGCGCGAGAAATAATGCCTATTGAAAGTATTTTTCTATAAAACCAGACTTATGTCTATACTTTAATTATCGTTTAGTGCTTACTGTGTCATGATATTCTCGGAGCTCGCGAGGGCAGACTGAATCATTTTACATTAATGGGAAATTCTTTCTCTTGAGAATTAACTTTCATCGTAGAACTTGGTCATCTCCCTCTCGGACTTTTCCATCAAAATTTCAAAATGTAATGCACTTTTACATTGCAGGCCGCCCGCAAGTACGACATACCGTACCCGACTTTCGTGCTGTACGCAAACCGAGTCCACAACCTCCTGGGACCCTCTGCGGAACCTGGGGATCTTCGTCCCAAAGGGCGAGGCCGGCCCCAGAGGATCCTGCTAGGATCCTGGCCTGAGGAACAGATCAAGGTTGTGATCCGCGCCGTGGTCTTCAGGGACACTAGCGTCTTCAAGGATGAGGAGCGCAAGGCCAGGATGGAGAACAAACATAAACCAGTTATCAAGGTAGGTTCTTAGGGAAATTATATGTTATTTTATTTGTGAATAGTAAATTCATATGTTTATTTTAAAATTAAATTGCAAAGTGCTTCAAAAGTGATTTTAAAGCTCACAAAAAATTGATGCTCTTTGAAGGCATTTGAAAAGAAAAACGAGATTGATGGATTTGACCGGCTGATTCTTTAACCAGGTTGTCGATTTATTGCCATAGAACCGTTATATTTTAGAGCAAAGCGTGTGATGTGTGTGGGAAGCCTAGGCGTTTTCGCATGACTTCTTAAAGAGACGCTCAGCCGGCCAGCTGTTCGCAGCCGCCTGGCATTTAAAATCTGTCGTGTGTGTCGTAACCGACATTTTTCGTCTTAATTACTTGCATTAATCATTGAAATAGATCGGGCAGCAAATGAAACTTCTTTGATGTCTGTGGAACGTAGCATGTGGTTGAAACTGCATGAAATGGTTTCATGCAGTTTCATTTATACTATTAAAAGGTCGTAAAGTTAGAAATGTTTTTCAGCAATTTAGTTCCAATTTAATTTCCTGCCTTATACTTGAACCACGAAATGAATTGAAATTTAAAGGTAACTGGAAAAAATTTTTAAATTATTTTCTTTTGCTTTATGTGCAATAAAAAATTACCCTATATGATAAATTTTTGTTCTCCTACAGCAAGAACAACGTCCTGCTTCTAACCCTGAGGGCTCCATAACCACCACGAGCCCCGATGGCACCAGCCTCGCTTACAAGCCTGGCACTCCGAACTCGACTGGCACTCCCGACACAACTCGCTCGTCTTCATCTACTCCTGGTGAGCTTACAAGCTTACAAACTCAATTTAATGGCATATATAACATTCTTTTTATATCAATCCAACAAATATTTACAAATACGTCTGCTTCTGATAGGTCTTGTGATTAAACATGCATCTGTTGAGTATCCGCTTCTGTTCCAATCTTCTTCGTGGCAATTTGTTTTCATATGGTGAATCGGAAGTCACTTGATATCGACTATCATATTTTGAGATATTACACTCTGTCTGTTTTAGGTTAGTGATACTGATGCCTCATTTGTACAATTTTTCGTTATATTGAATGTTCATTACTTTAATATAACAATAATGATATATTCCCGTCATAATTGAGTATCCTGTTCGCCAAAAAGAACCGCCTTCCCGAAGTGAGTTGCGAGGGGTTCAATGTTTACTAATTAAATACATATTCGAGACGAATTAACCATTAAATTTGTTTAACTTAATATTAACTTTTCCTGCAAATAATTGTACTGATTTCTTCATTTCTCGTTGCACTGATCATTAAATCAAGATGAACGTAGGCGCTCCCTGATTTTGCGTCTCTAATTCATGGCGTGTCTTTTGACAAATGCTTCATTAAAATCTGTTAATAAAACATTAACAATAATTACCCTTCGGCTTTCCAGGAACTTCTCTTGGCGGCCCCTCGATAGCGGTAACTCTGCCACACGCACTGGGCCAGATGACGAGAACTGCCACACCTCAGGGTCCGGCTGGAATGCCTTCAATGGGCGCCGATGCTCCTTTCCAAGATCCCAGCACTGAAACTCATCCATCCTCAATGCAGCATTCCCCACAACAATCCCCAGCAGTGTCCACCCCACTTCCTCCTCTGTCGTCTCCGGGCACCCCCGAGGTAGCTGTATCTGTGCCCTCTTCCTCACCACCGCAGGTTTCACGGTCCCCGATTGTGGGTGGCATTGCGGTCAAGAACGAAGGAATGCAGGAACCTAACACGTCGATCAGTCCTAGTCGTCAGTCACCCATTTCAACCTCTCCGCCTCGGCACAGCCCATCCTCTTTTAAGTCCACTCATACCCATTCTAATAACGGTCCCACCATTAACGGAAATTCACCAAATACTAACGGACCGATGATCTCGCAATCTCAGATGCCCTTCCCACCGCATATGCTGCAGCAGCAAATAATGGGAAGCATGTTACAGGGATCCATGCCTCCGAACATGCCTCCGCCTCCTCCCCCAAATCATGCTCGTCCCAACATGCCCCCCACAGCTTTCCCCGGCTACATGAGGATGCCCATGCCTCCACATGCCCCGCGTAGCATGCAGCATGAGGAATCGCCCGAAGCTTTGCTGTTTAATAAAATTGTTGGAGGTTCACAATTTCCTCCCATGAATCTGAGGCCATATTTCCATCCTGATGCCGCTGTTGCTCATGGATCACGCAATCCTAATGCGATGTTTCACCGAGATCCCTCTTTGGATAGCATCAAATCGGAACCTGAACCCATCCTCAATTAAATAAATGTCTAATATCATGGGCAATCACCCTTTCACAAGTTTATCTAATGCTAAATGCTACGAGTGTAAAAAAATACCTCATTTCTTCTTATCAGCGCAAATTGTGTTTTCCTTTCTATTTTTTTCGCAAAGACTCGTACTGTAAGTGTTTCAGCTCTGTTGATCCAGTTTAGAAAGGCATTTGCTGCATCTTTCTAGCCTCTGAGGCATTTGTAGTGTGGTTTGCACCTCTGATGATCTGGCAATTTCATTCTTCTGCTGACGAATGGTTCGCAGGAAGATGTTTTTCTCTGTGGTATATACGTGAAGTCCCACCAAGTTAGTCAAAACTGACAGGTCTCTTCGATGGCCAGTATTCAACAGATAATTACATTTTGTTCTGCCTACCATTTTATGCAGAATTGTTGTTAAAAGCATTCAGTTTCACAACGGACATGACGAGTGGTGATCGCAGATAATAGCTGGCCTCCGACACGTTCTTCGAGGACAAGAGATTGTTTTGTAAATAATGTATGAGTTAATTTCTAAAATAACATCTCATTATTTACAAATGTAAGTCATGGAAGTGGCTTTTTTGTTCAGAAAATCGGACGTATTTATTGTAGGCCTGCATACTATTTGCATTTACATGGGCATTCGTTTTTTTGTTTATTTCAACGTAAATCGTTACTTCAAATTATTTTGCCGAATCACCCAAGACTGCCTTGTATTTTCTGTGGGTCACGATCCTAAGGAATCGAGTGCGTTTCGTTGGGATGTGTATTTATTTTTTCCCAAAAATGTTACTTAACATTTAGTAGCTATTTCTAATCCTGGTTTCTACTTCGTTTGGAATTCACCGGGTTAAAATACGGATGTCGAATAGTCGCAACCCAAGTGTTGAAATACTTCTAATTTATTTCTAATGCACCATGTAGTAGTGTAAATATTGTTCGCATGTTACTATATGGAGAGTGAATTTTATCCGAATCTGCTCTCTAAATTCCTAATGAGATATTCCATTCTATCGAATTTAGTAATCACAAAATTTATTTCATGGAAATAGGCATTAGTACAGTAAAGGAAGGATTGTTTTCACTGGGAAATTATATATATACTGACAACTCATTATTATTTGGGTTGCTTCAATGCAATACGTTTCTCAAATTTTCCTTCACAATAAGTAAACACAGCAGTAGCATGGGAAAGTTAATCTCATTAGTATTCATTGTATAAATTGTACAAACCGTATTGAGTGAAAGTGTGCCCTTTTGACTGATCTCTACTTCATGTTACCTCTTTCCTTTCTATCCGTCAGTAAAACTGATGGATAAGCGCGTGCTATTATATAAGCAAGTTAAACGAGAACATTAAGGAGAATATGATCACTGATCTATTTATTATAAGTTGTTATTTTGCGTCTCCATTACATAAATCTGCTCTTCAAAGATCCTGTTTCATCTCAGTTTAGTTATATTGAGAAACGAGTAAATTGGTAGAATTCATGCATCGTCAACATACGAGTCAGAAGTCACAACATTTTCCGGAGTAAAATTTGCGCCTAATTCAACTCGCAGCATTCAAGTATTTCCCCGGCTACATTCAAGTATTTCCCCGGCTAAAATAATAATTGATAATATGAGTTACTAATTATTGGCTATCACTGTTGTTATTTTACGTCTGCTCATGTATACTACTTAAGTGTAAGCAGTTGGCTTGAGTCTTAATCATCCTGTAATGAATAATTTATATAGAGCGGTTGTAGAAGTGTAAAGTTTTTGCGGTCAGGGAGTTGCTGCAAGAGTGCGTTTCTGTTAATATTAGTGTAAATAGCATTTAAATCCCACAATTAGTCTTGGCACTTGGCATCTGATTGTACAGATGTAGCTCTTTGAAAAGTACATCTTTGCGTGGTTAACAACCAGCTACAAAACTTTGGACACGTTTTGCAACTATACCTTACCATTTGGATAGTGAATGGAGGCATAAAAAAAGAGTGGTGATATGAATAGATTAATATAGAGTTTCTACTCTTCTGTTAGGCCTGTTCCGTTCGCCTATGATCTTCTTCTGAAGTTCTCTTTTAAATTATATTAACTGCTGAAGATTTGAACTCAGTGATGAAGGTTTTCAGCACTTACAAAATTTTTGTTCATCTGGGTTTCCAATTGCCATGTTGTCTATCATGAATCACAAAGCTTTGCCCAACTTCTATGGGTTCTATCTTCTCCACTAAATTTCGATCATCATATCTCTAGTTTATATACATTACTGACGCTGCTCACATTCAAAATGGAATATTTGATGAATGTTATACTTTGATTATGAGTTGGTCTCTACTCGTTGACATGATTATTTTGACAAACGATTGGTGGTCAATTGATGACCTTATCACCTGACAAATAATGTTTGGAATTTATGAATACGCTGGAAATTATATTGTTAAAAGTTAGCTGCTTTACCGCTTAGCGCTGAAAAATAAACGGAAGATAATCAAAATATACCAATTCCAGTTTCCAACTTCATTGTACTAAGGTACTTTCTGTGTAAAAATGTTGTTTTTATGTGTAAATACAGTATATGCTGAATAAATAGCCATACTCTATATAATGCAGGGAACTTGACATCTGTTAGATGATGTTTAGTGCAAATATTACAGACTCATCAATGTACATTGTGATCTGAGCGCAATTGTACCGTATGAAAAAAGGAAAATTTACGCGCAGTTGTTTGCTAAAAAACATCGTCGTTAAACCTGACAACTTTTTCGTACGTGGAAATACCAATGCCAAGATGTTCCCAGTTAATGGAATTAACTAGACAATGAAATGAGAATTTCACATTTATTTGTATGTTGTATTTAGTAGCTTAAAAAGCAATGCAGGTAAACATCTTCATGTTGTTGCTGGAGAAGTGATAACATTCATGAGGGACAAAGTTTTGAGCGATGGTTTCCAAGAATGTAAAGTATATACGGGATCTGCAAGAATTTCTGTCGATTGCTTGGATATGAAGAATTAAGGTTGTAGTGACTACAACTGGTGTAATATAACCAACCCAATGTAATACATGTCTCGTTGTGGCTCCATATTGTTGCATTGATGTGTAGTGGACGTGTGCGATGTAATCGTTCTGTATGGTGTCCTATAGTGAAGTTCTTTACTCGTGTGAACATTTTGTAACATAATATCCATAGGTTAGGGTGCGATTTCCTCCATGGTTTTTTTTTTCATCACTGATTTACTGGAGACAAATCTGAATAGAAGGAAGATAATTTCGTTGCTTGCAATGGCTTGCTGAATTTAAAATTCTAGCAATGTTAGACAACATTGAAATTTTTATATTGCTGAAAGGCTCTGAATTGGGTTGACAATTTATTGTTCAGGCCTTGTATCTTTTTCCAGTTTCACCAACACTTTCCGTTGGAACATTCCTATTCATTTATTAGAACTAGCAGGTCTTAATTCCAACAGTCTGAACGACAAACAAGCTATTCTTTAGTATTCACTAACTCAGCACGATGGGATTTACTGTAGAAATAACTATGATAATTGATGATGTAAATTGATGATTGAATTAATGTACTGTAACTTTCAGCATTCGATCAGCGGTTGTTTTGCATTGTTCTTGAAGCATTACGATTGTGTTGCTCTGTAGATGCCTTGATGTTGTAGAATATTTATTTCTTGAGTTACTTCTGACGAATGGAAGATTCTGGTAACGTATTTTGCAAACTGATGATGAGTCAGCTTATAATTACAACGGATGTGTATATGGTCTGCTTCGAGCTCGTGCCATATATAGTAGACAATGAATGTTATATGAGCAGTGCAGCTTGTATATCGCTTTATGTATCAAACCTCATTCATTAAAACCTGGAAAACTAAACTACCCATTGTTGATTTTGTAATACCCTTCTAGCGTATATTCGCAAAAATATTAGTTTGTGATCCTTATGTTTATGATCCGATGAGTTTGTGATCCTTATGTTTTATTATGATCCTTATGTTCATAATTGTCACACTTTCAATATTACCCAGCATTTTCTGCTAGCCAGAAAGAAATTTCTTATTTATTTGAGGTAATCGAGTTGGAATTGTAAAAATTCAAGTCCTAATATAAAATTAGTCCCTTTTAGAAGCATCTGACCGAAAATTTTCAGGTTCATGGGATCAGGATTAGGTGATGAAGTGCGTTGTTTTCATTAAATCGTCAGACATTCTCAGCTCACAAGCATTTTCCACAACAAGTTGTCTTGGATGCAAAGTAAATCTCATCCATCAACAGCAATGTCATCTTTTCTGAAATGTCAATATAAGAAATGCGCAGCGTTAGCATCTCAGGTGAGATGTTTAGAACTCATTTGAAACAACAGCGACGAAGACACTCCTACAAAATGTCGAGAAGTTGGCCGCAGAAAAAACTGAGAAATGAAGTGCCAGTAAGCTCCATCACAACAACTTAACATCACAACTGACCTGCCAATAAACTTAACCTTATTTGGGTGCATGCGCTGACTAATTTTTGCGCGGCCACCGCTTTTTCTGCGGCCATATTCTAACATGTGAGATCGGTTTTCGTCGATAGTAACGAGAGGGACAAAAAAAGACACCAAAAATGACAGCGCGTAAACTGAATGAGGCATATATACGCGTGACAGCTCAAGTCTTCATATTTATTCAGGAAAACCCCAGCAGCTTGGAATCTTTAAAACTTTTAGTGCAGCGGTACTTGCTTATTTAAATTTAAACAAGTACGAAATATATGTAAAGTTAATTTTTGCACCGGAACGTACAAATTTAATCGTTAATATTGAATTATAGGCCTTTTTTATTCGCGGACTTGGCCGTTTTTAGGTCATCTGGCAACCCTGATGTCAACGAGTTTAGGTCATCTGGCAACCCTGGTGTCAACGAGTTTAGGGCATCTGGCAAGCCCGCACTCAACGCGTTAACGTGACCAAAACTATGATACAGAGAGGAGAGGAAATTCGCTCTGTCCTGCTGAGGCTAATAACTGACCCCATGAGTACACATTAAAATGAACAAGACTGGAAGATAATACCATTATACATAATACAATAATCCATATAGACCCCCAATTAAAGAACACTGTTCAAAATGCAGTAGTGCGTTCCGACCATCATACACATCCCCCTTTCACAAGCCGAGTTCACACTAGAACTTGGATACTTAGAAAATGCGTCCGCAAGAAACTCTTCAGAACCATTAACATACTCTATTTCGAAAGAATAATTTTGCAATAACAATGCCGAGCGCATTCTACGAGACTTAAGACACTTGTTTTCATTTGGCCAAATCAATGGAGCTAATAGCTAAACATTCAATGGAGCTAATGTTCATTCAATGGAGCTAACATTCATCAATGTAGCTAATAGCTAAACATTCTAACTCTTATCGCATAATTCTTCTCGACGTTTTTCAGCTTTCTACAAATACATGAATCGGACTATCTTTCTTGTTACATCTCTGCTATAGAACGGCTCCTTATCCTAAGGTTAAAGCATGGGTTTGACCAAAAAATTTGGCATCAAAGGTGACAATGTGCAAAGGAATGTTTTTTTCTAAACATGATACACTGTTAGTAAAACACATTTACCATTCATCTGTCCATAGAATCTTAGAAGAGCAGCAGTTATTCAAATTTCAAAGTATCATTCAAGGGTGAGGCACATGTAGCTAAGTTCGGAGCAAATTTCATATAAAAGTTAATTCATCCTAAGGAGGAACGCATCTTTTTTAACACTGGTTAGTGGGAAGTACCAAACAGTGTTTAATTTTTCTCTAATTAACTCGGATCTTATTTCTACCCACAACCAAGCCCAGAAATTCCACCTCTGCATTGGCAAAGCTACCTTTCGCCCTATTAAGTGTGAGTCCTGTCTCGTACAGTTTCTTAATGTGAGCGCGACTGCTATGCCTGCCGCTCTTACTTCAGCGCCGACCGAGCAGGGAAAGTGAACTTGGATTTTTGAACATTTATTTGTAACGAAGACACATTAAAACGTGGTAAAGGGAACAGTGAAAATAAACTCAAAATGAACCTAAAGTGAACCTAAAGTGAACCCATTTATGGCTCGTATTGAATCTATTGTTCGTAGTTAACCAATATGATTCAGCAAACAAAACTAATAAACTTAACAAGATGCAGCTATAATACATAACTTTAATTCTTCCAAACAAAATAATAACAATTTCGCAAATACCACAGCACAAATTTAGATCTCACAATATTCACAAATATCACGCACAAATTTACGTGTCACAATATAACTACTATTCACAAAAAATCACCACCATTGAAGCGCAAAGTGCTTCATGACTAACAGAATGAAAGTGATGTGCTTCGAATGATCAAAGTGAACAGACTTTTTCTCCAAATAAAAATGCTAGTAAAAATCGAAAGAAAAAAAAACATTAATGGAAAAATTAGTACAAGTTCAACAGAACAAAAATACGAAATAATTGTTGATTGATCGCAAAAAAATTAGAGACGTGCGTGGCGCGGCTACATACTTCCCCACTAGCGCGATTTCCGGCATTAAAATTGTGGCATAAAACAGTTTATTTAAAATACGACGCATACTAAAAATGTTCATGCGATTCAAAATTTCTAGGGAACACACAAAGTTAAGAACAAATACTGGAAAATATAGATTTCACCTTAAGATTAAACATTGCACAAGGGTTCTATTATGACATTAGATAAATCTAGCGGAACATACGGGTGAAGTAACCGCCAAAAGTTCCACAAATTTATTCAATATATTGGACACTAACGATCAAAACATACGAAATTCTGCAAAACCTAATCTAGAGAATTACAACATGCATACATGATCATTTCCAACATCGCTCAAGAGTCTCAAGAGGTTGCACGTGGGGCAAGTCATCTACTGGACCAACTGAGCGCGTATGAGGTCGCAATGACTCGGGCTTAGGAGCACAAGAGGCTTCAGTCAAACGACAAGGTCGACGTCAGGTCAGGTCAGTCTTTAACTTGTCTTTCATCGACTTCAAGTATGAAGACATCTCGTCAACCTTAGACGACGCACCAACTGGATGGTCAACACCGGACAACGACACGTCCACGATTTGACAGCACTCCTCAAGGAAGTCACTCACATGAGAAAGAGCGGCATCAGCAGCGACAAGGACACTCTCGACCGCGTCACCCATAAGCGCTACATTAACTTCAGCAAGTTCGCCAGTGTGTTCAAGAAGGCGGGCCGGTTCGTCCATCGAAATACCTGACACGCTCCAAGTTTCATTGGAGCATGACATGCTCTTGACATGCTCCAAATACCTACATTCATTTCATGCTAAGTATTGCATGCGTTGGATAATACTCTGTTTCGGCGCTAGCGTTGCTGGTTGGCTCGTTGATAGAAGGAAGAACATATAACGGTTTATCTGACAACAACAAAAGAGTCATATGAGCACCAAACTATCTCATCCCGTATATTTAATTTTGGCATGACCGTCATGGCGTTCACTACTTCTGGAATTGATTCTTCTGAATCAACTACGGATTCTTTAGAACTCGTGAACTCACACGTGGTTTCAAAAATATGACACTTAACATAATCTCCTGAAAACTCGAACTTGATGGATCCGTTCCACCGTCGTCATGATGCGGTTCAGCCTTCTCACAAATAATGGGCTGCACTTCCCCACAACATATTCCACGTCTGGTGGCCTGATGGATGCAACGCACGATGGTACCACGCTTGGAAAATAAATAGGTTGTTGGTCCGAAGGGTGAGGATCCGGCAATACAGTGCCATCCATCCTCTTCGTCCATAACCGAGGGTCTACTACGGTGGAGCTGTGAAGAGTCCCTCTTCTCTGCTGAGCTTAAAAGTTTAACTGTCGAGGTGCAGTACACTTGTTTCCGGCGTGGTTCCCAGAGCAGCGGGGACATTTTAGGAGAGTTTGTCTAAGACGATATCTAGGACAGTCGTCCATCGCGTGATTCAAGTCACCGCAAAATAAACAGGCTCCAAGGTTCTCCCAACATGTTTCCATTTCGTGACCTCTGCGGCCACACTAATGACACAGAGAAGAACGTCGAGCGCCGGCAGCGATGTCGCTCGAGCGATGCAGCGCCCGCATCGCGGCCTCCATCTGAAGACTGCCGGTGGTCCCTCTGTAGGTCAGTCTTTAAGCTGGCCGTCGATCCACGGAACGGCTTTACGCGGGCCGCGGACAGCTGGTAACGAAAGCGCTTACTGCCGTCAACACGAGTTTGTACCAATAAGATAGGAGTTTTTCTTCATATCGGGAAACTGCAGGCGATGACCACCGAGTGCCTTGTAGCATTCCTTAAGGTCACCCATCAAAAATCTAGAAAGTTCTTGAGAGCAGTCGCACGAGTTCCCGTGGTATTTCGCGTAGAAATACCTCTCGACATTCGTGAGGAAGGAGCGAAGTCATAGCTTCTTGTCCAGCTGAAATGGCGACGGCTCCACATGCTCCCGCTGAATACGCAAAGAATTCCGTCTACCACTGCCATGTCGCTGATTAGCATCACAGGAATCTCCGGAGTATTCATCTGAAGACATTCGCTGGCAACAGTCGGAAAATTTAATTTCTTCTATGTCCGTCTTCCGCTCAATTCCCTTCTCCCTTGCTGGTGGCATACGAGGTGACGAGGAGCGTAGAGGGAATTAAATCCTCGTTTGGCCTAAGAGCTAGGCGACAGCTCACGCACCACGTTCAGAGAAGGATTGAGTTCCTCACTTACCTCACGTGGCGGCACATCCGCTGGGTCCGTCTGCTTGGTGTCGAATGCTGGACGTTCGATGCACAAACTGGATGCTGGCGTATATTTCCAATAATCTGAGCTGGATATTTGATCCAGGTATTTCGCC